AGACTCAGTAACTAATACTGTTAGTATAGAAGGAAGTATATCTGTTATTATTTTCATGTCAGACTCAGTAACTAATACTGTTAGTATAGAAGGAAGTATATCTGTAAATATTATCTTCATGTCAGACTCAGTAACTAATACTGTAAGTATAGGAGGAAGTATATCTGTTATTATTTTTATGTCTGACTCAGTAACCATGTCATGTCATACTGATTAACAACAAATATAGTTGATTACGTCTAAATGTTAAGAAGACTAATATTTTTGGTTTGCATTCCTGTCTATAAATTATAAATTGCTACATTAAGTGCTGGGTATTAGGAAGCAGAAACATATTACAATATATTGCAATATTTTACTGAAGACTGAATATTGCGATCAAATTGCAATATATGTGTTATCGAGGATTAAAAAGCCTCAGAGGATGTGTTTTTGAGGTCTTGCAACTTTTTTGTAATAAATAATATATTTCATTTTAATATGTGTTTTAGGAAGTGCTGATCCAGTTTTAGTTGTTTCTTCACCTTGAGGCATGTTAGCTCCTGGTACAAGAAATAACGAAGAAAAAAACCTCTATACTGCTGAATTTCTAACAACCTGTGCTTTTTTCATTTTATTTTCCCTTTTGTTATTCTATTTTGTATTTTAACATGCCCAAGAGTCTATCAATGCAAGGAAACAATAATAATATCATTAACAAGAGGCCCAGAGGGCCAGTATTGCTCATCTGGAAATGTTCACAAAATTGAAATTGAAATAGCCAGATGTTGCTGGAAGTGTACATATATTATATGGTTATTCAGGGGTTATATTTATATGCAATTTGACAAATTCTGTCATTCCTACAGGAAAAGGAGGATTTTGAAGAATTTGCTATGTTTCCCCTATTGGGCCCCACCCCTCTGACCCACCGATGATACAAAATTAAGTCCCCTTCACCAAAGGATGCTTAGACCAAATATGGACATAATCTTGTCATTCCTACAGAATAATAATTTTAAAGCTATTTTTCTATTTTTCCTATTTGGCCCCGCCCCTCTGCCAAATGGGGGTTCAAACCCACCATTTATACAAATTGATTTCCCTTCCAAATAGGATGCTACTGTTCAAATTTGGTCAAAATACCTTCAAAGAAGAATTTTGAAGAATTTACTAAATTATCCCTATTGGGCCCTACCCCACAGGCCCCTGGAGAGTCAGATCCACCATTTATAAAAAAACAAGACAATTCGGCGAATTATAGTCCCCCACCGAATGTAAAATGCACAGATGATAAATTTGTGCAGGAATTAATTCTATATATATGAGTGTTTGACAGACCCACCGTATTCAATAAGGAATAGTGTCAGTGCTACTATTGCAAATAAATCTGGTGGATGTTTACTGGTTAGTTGTACCGTTTTACTATTAAATTGCATCTGGTGACACTAGGTATACTACAGCATTTCATTATCTGATTACATTTGGTGGTATAAATATGAATATCGCTAATTTTAGTAAGCGATATCAGAACCCATGCACAAAGTATGAAGTTCCAGTGACTAGTAGTATAGGAGATAGAGCCCGGACAAACTTTTTCTTTGATGTAGGTCAAAGGACAGAATGTAGGTCAGAGTGACCTACTTTTGATACACGACACACCGCCTCACCAAGGTGAACCCATTCCCCAAGCATGAAGTTCCAGTGACAAGTAGTGTAGGAGATAGCGCCCGGTCGGGATAGCGGAAGGACGGACGGACGGACATGACGCAAAACTACAGTCCCCCCCCCCGGTTCCCGATGGGGGTCTAATTAAGTCCCCTTTAACAAAGGATGTTTCAGACCAAATATGGACAAAATCCTGTCATTCCTACAGAAGAAGAAGAATTTTAAAGAATTTGCTAAATTACCCCTATTTGGCTCTACCCCTCAAGCCCAAGAAGGGTCAGACCCACCATTTATAAAAAAAAAGATTTCCCTTCTCTATAGGATGCTTCTGTTTAAATTTGGTCAAAATACCTTCATCCCAACGGAAGAAGAAGGATATTAAAGCTATTCCCCTATATCCCTTATTGGGCCCCTCCTCTCTGCCCCCAGGGGGGGCCACACCCACCGTTTATACAAAATTGAGTCCCCTTGGCCCAAGGATGCTCCAGACTTAATTAGGATAAAATCTCTTAATCCCTACGGTAGAAGGATTTTAAAGGTTTTACTCTATTTCCCCTATTGGGCCCTGCCCCTCTGCTCTCAGGGGGGCCACACCCATCGTTTATACAAAAATTCAGTCCCCTTGGCTCAAAGATGCTCCAGACTAAATTAAGATAAAATCCCTTAATCCCTACGGTAGAAGGATTTTAAATGTTTTACCTCTATTTCCCCTTTTGGGTCCCGCCCCTCTGCTCCAAGGACGGGGCCACACCAACCGTTTATACAAAATTGTGTCCCCTTGGACCAGGGATGCTCCAGACTAAATTAAGATAGAATCTCTAAATCCCTACGGTAGAAGGTTTTACCTCTATTTCCCCTATTGGGCCCCGCCCCTCTGCTCCTACCATGGCCACACCCACTGGTTAAATAAAATGGAGTCACTTTGGCCCAAGGATGCTCCAGACCAAATTTAGTGAAAATCCCCCCTATGCGTGTGTGTTTTGGGAGGCTGAGATGTATTCATGTTTGTCTCCTTGTGATAGCGCAGAACTGATGCCGACTTTATAGTCCTACCTCACTGAAACATACTGCCGAAGACACCCAGACGATGGATGCTGCGTTATGACATAAACTCACCATGGTCCTTCGGCTAAAAGCTAAAAACGGCATTCCCTTCTGATTGTACTATAAAACTGACACAATCGGGCGAGTGTTTTTTTTAAAATGCAGTTTTTAGTGATATCATTGTTTTTTAATGCATTGCTAGAATCAGGGGAGTGTTGAATGGAAAATATAATAAAAAATAAAGAAATTTACAAAATGGAAAAAAAACAAGGTCCAAATCCCAGGTATCTTTGCACAACTGAAGTCATATTTAAAGACTTTTCAAATTTTAAGGGAAATGCCTGAAACTGACTTTTGACTATATGTACCTGTTTCTTTCCCTCCATTAGTACAAGAGCAAAGTCCTGTTCAGTCATGCATGTCTTGAGTCGCTGAAGGGCTGGTGGGCCAGGTTTGTCTTGCTGTGATACATCAGAGTCTGCCTGACTCCAGTCAGTCCTCACTGCAGAGGGAGGTGGTGGCTGTCCACTTGGCATACTATAAAACAGGTTTACATATTGACAGTTTATGTGGAATCCTAGTATCATTAATAGCTTCAACTATAAAAGTTTAACATAAAGTATTCACAACTCCGAGGTCAAGCAACCCAGCTTGATTTGGTCTGACTTGAATCAAACAGGAAGGAAACCAAAGAGGTAGTCAACTTGCCCTGAGTGAGTTCATCGTAACATTTCTGATACTATGACTGGCTGTCTTGTTGGCCTTCAGTTATTGGCCAGTGTGATGCCATGGTAATGTTATCACAGAATAGGATGTGTATGTCACCATTAAAGTCATGATGAGAACTACAGTAAGCTATTGATTAGCATTATTAACATACAATGCTAAACAAAAAGACAAACAGAACACCTGATTTGTAATTTATGGCAGTATGTTTTCACAAGTCTTCCAATCTTCATTAGTTATATACTCTGATATTAACTAGAGTGGGATAATCATGATAAAATACATTCACAAATAAATCTCTTTTCTTGAGTTTATGTATAAATTGATGGTAAAAAAAGAATATGATGCCACAAAAAGTCCACTTCATCTACATATCGTAGATTTTATCAGATTTCATGTACTATCTGCGGACACCAATCTTCAAATAGATACTCCTTGTAACTTGTGGAATATTAATTTACATAATCCAAAACACTTGACAACCTATTTATTATAAATGTTTAGGAGTTTATCTCACTTAAATGACAGGAAAATAGAATATCACTCACCCTTCATCGAATGTCACCTCCATGGCAGCCATCCTCTTCGACTCCATCGACCTTTTCTGAGGTGGGAACAACACGGCTTTGAGGGCAAGTTTGGCAGTGTCAGCGGCACGACTGTTGATCACGTCCGCCACTGATTTACCGGGAAAGAGGCGCGACAGGATAGATATCACATCCTCATTGGACGGATCCAACAGCAATCCCATCAACAGGTCCTGTCTGGCCCCGACCATACTCTGTAAACAACCTATCCTTGTTAGTGTTGACACAGAAACTATGTATCGTTGTTATTGCTGACATGGAGACAAACTTGTAATTAATATTGTCACAGAAACAAACTACAAACTGCATGTATTTTAATGTCGACACAGTGACAAAATTTGTGTACGGTTGACAAAGAAATTTAGTACCGGAAAGTGGAAATTCTTGCGTGTGGAAATGTCTGCAATGTGACTCTTTAAATCGATCAGGGTGTGGAAGTTTTCACGCTGGCATTTGCTCTTGAATCTATCTCTTATACTCTTGCATAATTTAGTCATACGAAAACAAAAGCATTTCTTTTATAGTACTGAGTTTTACACAGAGACAAACTTAAACTATATTGCCTTTAGATAAAAAAAACAGTGTTACTTACCTCCAACATGTAGCGTGCCCTTGCCCGAGAGATATAGTATTGTCCTACTTTGGGGTTGTGTTTTAGGGCTTCTGTAAACTTGGAATCAGCCTCCTGTGATACAATACAAGACTTGAGTTACCTCAACTTTCACAAAATGTTTTAGAAATAGTTTTCTTCGAGAGTAAGTTACATGTAGTAATCTCTGATTTGAACACTTCTTGTAAAAAATGCAAAATCAAAGTAGCTTATTTTAAACTTGTTTAGGTGGGTTACTTTTTAAAACTAAAAGAGAACAGATGTCCAGGACAGATTGTATCTAGCGATATTGCTTATCTTTGGGAAACCCCTGTTGAAGTATGTATTATCCGCGTCATATTTATTGTGATATATAATTATACATATCTGTGTTATCTACCAGGTACCTATCTGTGTTATCTCCCAGGTACATATCTGTGTTATCTCCCAGGTACATATCTGTGTTATCTCCCAGGTACCTATCTGTGTTATCTACAAGGTACGTATCTGTGTTATCTACCAGGTTCCTATCTGTGTTATCTACCAGGTACGTATCTGTGTTATCTACCAGGTTCCTATCTGTGTTATCTACCAGGTACATATCTGGGTTATCTACCAGGTACCTATCTGTGTTATCTTCCAGGTACATATCTGTGTTATCTCCCAGGTACATATCTGTGTTATCTCCCAGGTACATATCTGTGTTATCTGCCAGGTACCTATCTGTGTTATCTACCCGGTACATATCTGTGTTATCTACCAGGGACCTATCTGTGTGACTTATTTACCGGGTAGTTTTTGTCCTGGTAAGCTGTCACTCCATACTCGTTAAAGATCACCGATATCCTTGCCTGGACGGCAGCATCATTTGGGTCTATCTCTAATGCTTGGTTGTAGTCCTGTAACGCGAAGTTGTAGTCATTCTGCCGGAAAAAACAATCTGAAAAAAATTTATTGGTAACATATTTTACATTATCAACACACATGTATACTGCACAATTAGACAAATATTTAGGTACTGTATGTGAAATCTCTCTATCTTATAAATATACACCTGATAAATGACAGCAGATAACTCCCTTCAACACGTAAAGGTATGAAAGAAACTAGGAAAGTTCAAATTGGAATTTCATTGACCAGGGGGATAAGAATATTTTTCTGAGATACATCTTTTTCAAACTAAACAAGAGGCCCAGAGGGCCTGTATCGCTCACCTGAATATTTAAGCAGTCATAGCAAAATATTCTCATTCAATATCATATTGCACTACAAATATTTCCCTCGCAAACATCTGTTGAAACTACCAGCCAAATATTATTATAAGATTCTATGCTTTTTGGTTCCTCTTCAGAAGTTAATTGACATATTTTTTCCTGTGACCTTGTAAGTAGGTCAATGTCATTTTCCTTCTCATACTTTGTAAGCTCTATCCCAAAAAGCTACCAGCCAAATCTTATGAATCCATTCCATTTGGTTCTTAAGAACAAATCCTTTAAAATGCTGTTGATGTCTGTCCTTTTAGGTAGGTTGAGGTCATTTTCATTCGCAAACTTTGGTGAGCTCTATCCCAGGAAGCCACCAGCCAAATATTATAATTTTATGCTTTCGATTATTCAGAAGAAGCCCTTTGATGTTTTTGACATATTTGACACCTGTGACCTTGAAAGAAGGTCAAGGACATTTTCATTCTCAAACTTTGTCGGTATCTATCTCAGCAAGCCAACAGCCAAATATAAAGATTCTATACCTTTTAGTTCTTCAGGAGAAGTCGTTTAAAGAGTTTTTACATATTTGACTGCTGTGACCTTGAAAGTAAGTCAAGGTCAATTTCATTCTCAAACTTTATCGGGCTCCATCCAAGGAAGCCAACAGCAAAATATGAAGATTCTATACCTTTTAATTCTTCAGAAGAAGTCGTTTAAAGTGTTCGACATATTTGACCGCTGTGACCTTGAAAGTATATCAAGGTCATTTTCAAGATATGTTGGGCTCCATCCCAGGAAGCCATCAGCCAAATATGAAGATTCTATCCCTTTTAGTTTTTCAGAAGAAGTCGTTTGAAGAGTTTTGACACATTTGACCCCTGTGACCGTGAAAGTAGGTCAAGATATATTCATTCTCAAACTTTGTCCGGCTCTATCTCATGAAGCCAACAGCCAAATATGAAAGTTCTATACCTTTTCGTTCTTCAGAAGAAGTCGTTTAAAGTGTTTGACATAATTGACAGCTGTGACCTTGAAAGTACGTCAAGGTCATTTTCATTCTCAAACTTTGTCCGGCTCCATCCCAGGAAGCCAAATATGAAGATTCTATACCATTTAGTTCTTCAGAAGAAGTCGTTTAAAGTTTTTGACATATTTGACCCCTGTGACCTTGAAAGTAGGTCAAGGTCATTTTCATTCTCAAACTTTGTAAGGCTCCTACCAGCGAAGCTATCACCCAAATATCATGACTCTAGGCCTGTCCATTCTTCAGAAAAAGTCGTTAAAAGGAAAGTTGACAGACGACGGACAGACGACGTACGCCGCGCCATGGCATAAGCTCACTAGCCCTTTCGGGCAGGTGAGCTAATAAAAACCATCAGACTGACGTTTTCCAAAATATATTGTTCTGTTTTATTGTTGTTCTCATGCAAAAAATCAATTATTAATATACAATCATGTATTTCAATATTTTATGTAATACATGTACAGAAAATATAATGCATTTTACAAAAAAGTTTTCAATTTGATGACCGACTTGTTTGTATTCTGGACAAAAGGCAACAAATGACGCATTTACTCATAAACAGTATGTGACGATGTCACAAATAATAATTAGAGTTATTACCATACTCATTATACAATATGTATATATAGGGTTTTATTACAATTAAGGGTTATATAACTACCTTATGCAACAAAGATGTGCATATGTTTTGTGTCAGAGTTATCTTCATTAATTATATAATATGTTTTCTTACTCATATATTAAAACTTTTGTAACAGGAGAACTCTAGACAGAGGCTCTACCAATTCAGCTACCTGGTCGCCGCGATCGACTCAGTCCAGTGACACTACATTCCTTCTTCCTTTTTCTAAATCTTCGCCACCGAAGACATCTATATACTACCTGGGAATCAATACAAGGGGGAAAATCTGCCAGCTGATAGTTTTTCCCCTAAACAACAAACCCAAATGGAGAAAAAAACAGCCAGCAAATTGTTTCACCCTCCCTAAACATCAATACCAAAAATTGAAAAAGAGTGGAAAAATCAGCTAGTTGTTGTTTTCTAGCTAATCAGCTAGCTAATTTCTTTCCCCGGGATAAAAATATCTAATGGGAGAAAGTAACAGCTAGCTGATTCTTTCCCCCGGGAAACTTTCAGCAGGGAGGAAATAATTTGCTGTTACACCAGTATTTCTTGAACCCGAGGATAAACCCCTATCTCCCTAAAAACTCTAATCAGGTTTACAACTTGAGGTTACTATACTATTGTAAAAATTTACATAGAGGGATTCAAAAGATATTCTCTATACATGCTTTCTTACTACAAACAGACAGACACACAAATATAGGGATGCACGCACAGACGCACTGAGTAAGCATTTACTATGTACCCCTTCTCGACTAAGTGGGTGGGTAGTGGGGTAACAATGAAAAAATAATAAAGTAAAACTTTGCTTTTATGTCATAGTATTATTACACTCATTTATTACACTGGACAGCAGTTTGAGTATATAACATAATATTTGTGACATGACTTCTTTACTTGTGATAAACAAAGTACAGCACCACCATTTTCACATGGTTTTTGATACATTTCCATGTGTATGTACATTGCCAGTCCAATATGGACTTTAACATTGACCTAAATGATCAGCTACCGGTACTCATAATTTTCAATTAAAATCTTAATGTTTTTTGTTCCATACTGATCAGTGAGTAGTATTTTACAAACAGTTTTCAATGTATTCACTGAGAAACTGAGTTTCAACGTAATAAACTCAGAAAAATGTCATTTTTTGATTTTGTGCAGTTTTTATGCTCAACATCTGCCCATAGAAACATGACCCATAGAAACATCCACCCATGGAAACATTTTGTAATGAAAGCATGTATCCATGGAAACATCAAGTCATGGAAACATCTATCCATAGAAACATCAAGTCATGGAAACATCTACCCTTGGAAACATCCACCAGCTGGTAGTCTTGTTTTCCCATAATTATTATTGATGTCACTAAGTGTGATGTCATTAACTGTGATGTCAGCATAAAATAATGTCAGTAATTAGAGTGATGTCAGTATAAAATAATGACACTAAACATGATGTCATTAAGGTTGATATCAGTATAAAATAATGTCACCAAGTGTGATGTCACTAAGTATGATGGCAATATAAGATAATGGCACNTACAAATAGCAAAAAGAAAATTACCATAACAAATAGCAAGAAGAAAATAACCATAAAATTGCCATAACAAATAGTAAAAAGAAAATTACCATAACAAATAGCAAAAAGAAAATTACCATAAAATTGCCATAACAAATAGCTAAAAGAAAATTACCATAACAAATAGCAAAAAGAAAATTACCATAACAAATAGCAAAAAGAAAAGTACCATAAGAAATAGCGAAAAGAAAATTACCATAACAAATAGCAAAAAGAAAATTACCATAAAATTGCCATAACAAATAGCAAAGAGAAAATTACCATAACAAATAGCAAAAGTAAAATTACCATAACAAATAGCCGAAACAGCATTACCATAACAAATAGCCGAAACAGCATTACCATAACAAATAGCCCAAACAGCATTACCAAACAAATAGCCAAAAGAACATTACCATAATAAATAGCAAAAAGAAAATTCTACTTGATGCATTACCTCCCCTGTTAATATAGAGCCCCTTCTCTCGCTTCTCTCCCTTGATGGCCTTATTTAGGAGAATAATGGATTCCTCGTAGAATCCTTTGGTGAAGCACTCGACAGCGAAGTCATTGTAAGTAAGGAGCAGTTGTCTTTGAGAGTCCAGATAGACTTGGCTCTCTTCGTTGTGGTCACATTTGTCCAGGGCGAGCAGGAAATCATCGATAGCTGCATTAAAATCACCCAGTTTCCGGTGGAGGGTACCTCTGTAGAGGAAAGCAAACCTTTGGTTACATGTTGTTTCTGGTGCATTTTTAATGTAAATAGAAACAGATTTAAGATTGTTTGATTCACAGTTTTGAATTTATTTCATCTGGTAATACACACTGAGAAATAAAACTATTTGTATCTTTAAAGAAAAACAATGGTAATCTCTAGCTGTCTTGCAGTGAAAGGCGAGCGAATACACCACTGCACCATCTAGAAAACACACATGATCAGGCAAGTGGCCCCGTACATTTTCATGTCTGACCAGGGATCGAACCCCAGCAAATCAGATGTGAAAAGGTTACCTGTCTGCCCACATGGGTTTATTCTGGGTACTATCGTTTCCTCCCATATTAAGACCCCTGCACACATCTTTGCCAACAAGAGTAATTAATGTCAGTTTATGAACTTGTTTTATCATTGCTGTAAAATAAATGAAATCTTATTTTCAATAATGGTAACTAGTAAACCATCTACATTTCCAGTAAAATTATACCTATTAATTACGTCTACCAAGTTTCAAGGAAATTGTATGGAAACTGAGGAGCAAAATGGCCAGAAATTATGTCGGAAAATTTGTATTCAGATATTCATGGAAATTCTACAAATGATTAGGATAACTCTACCAAGTTTCAAGGGAATCAAATGGAAACTAAGGGTCTAAATGTACAAACAAGATTGTGAATATGATGGGATGATTCCAGATTAATACCTCCCCCCTCAAAAAAACCCTGTTCCTGAAGTAAAAATACTGATCATTGATCAATTGATCTTTGCTTCTTATGAATGAACACTAACATCAGACCTTGTGAAATTAGATCAATACATGCATATACAGCTGTGATGTAAGAATTTCAGCACTATCTAATTCACCTGAGGACATCGAAGTCTGCCATGTTAGGGTTGGTTTCTATGGCGATGGAAATCTTCTGAAGGGCCTCCCTGTGTTTGCCAGCCAGGTTGAGCTGTGTTGCCTGGGCTTTGTTCTCCTGGGCACGGCGTTCTAGATGGGCCATCATCTTCTGGGCCTCTACATGGCCCTCATCTAGTGATAGGGCATCCTTTATGTCATAGTAACACAGGGTTGTCTGGAACATTCAACAACATGGAATCAACAAACAATTCAACTCTTCATTGACAAGGATAGCATTTAAAAACAAATGAAAAGACATTGAAAATGTATTTCACCTGATGAAAGCATTCTGTTATAAGTAAGGATATTTAGTGTGACCTACCTAGTAGCTAAAAATGACTTTGTACAGGCTTTCAAAAATACAAAGTGTTCAATTTAGACAAGGCACATTGTATATGTAACAAGGCATCAGAAGTGATACAAATCCCCTCGCATTCACACATTGTGTGCCATGCATATGTATGAGGAAATGAATAAACAATTCAATAACGACTGCATCTGTTGAAGGTATTGCCATGGCAAACAATTGTATCAAGTTTCACGAAATTCCGTTGAGGAATGGATTCGAAAGAGCACTGACAAAGTTTTTCGGAAAATAGTAACATTGTCATACCAGACACTTGTATCAAGTTTCATGAAATTCTACTGAGGAATGCAGTCGCTACAGCGATGACTGAAGTTTTTTCTAAAAGCAGTAACAGTGACTTTGACCTTCAACGTAGAAATCCGAAATGCGAACTTGTTCAAGGTATTGTCATACCAAACTCTTGTATGAAGTTTCACGCAATTCCGTTCAAGAATGAAGTCGCTAGAAAGATGACAAAGTTTTCTAAAAATAGTAACAGTGACCTTGACCTTCAAGCAGTAATCGGAAAAGCGAACTTGTTCAAGGTATTGTCATAACAAACACTTAATTGTATGAAGTTTCATGAAATTTGGTTAAGTAATGAAGTCGCTAGAGCGATGACAAAGTTTTTCTAAAAATAGAAACAGTGACCTTGACCTTCAAAGCAGTTACCCAAAATGTAAACTTGTTCCAGGTATTGTCATACCAAACACTTATGAAGTTTCACGAAATTCTGTTGAGAAATGAAGTCGCTAGAGTGATGACAAAGAGTGTAACATACATATATACGTACATATGTGTGTAAATATGTACGAGCGTAATCCTATATCCCCTTGAACTTTCGTTGCGAGGGGATAATAAAGCCACAACAAAATTTGAATAAGCAGAAATAAATCTATATGTTACACTGTGATCATGGCAATCCAGATGTCTTTACAAGACTATGTGTTCTTGTCTGTCCTAGTAAACACTAACAACAGTATCAGCATATCTGGTATAGACCTAACTTTAACAACCACCTTCAAAGGAGTTCTTAAGTTTCAGGATGCAACTTTTAATGTTTGATAATAAATTTCCAAACAAAGCCCATTTCATTTTTTTGTCTTCAGTTAACAAAATAAATTTTATGGATGACAATCTCAAATGTGGGCCAGAGCTATAGGTGAAAATCAATACAACCTGTCCAAATGTCAACTGTTTCCACCCACCCTTTCTAATGAATCAAACCTGCCATTGGTAGTCCCTTTGTCAGGGATACTTTTTATTGAAAGAATGGCGCAGATTGGAGAACTCTCTCTACTGATAGAAGGAAAAGACCACATATGCACACTTTTTATTGACAGAAGGCCAATTTCAAGGTCACATTCTAGTGATAGAAGGGAGAGACCATCTGAGGGATACATATTATTGACAGAACATGTAGGGATATAATCTGTCATGTAAGTTTGCTGTACTCACATTCCTAAACATCTCGTGTAAGCGGGCCCTCATTATGTATAGGTCAGGATTGTTGACCTCTGTTTCTAGTCGTTTGTTCACCAGGGCCAGACACTCGCCATGTCTCTGGAGGGCAGCTAGACAAGTGATGCTTCAATACAAATATCACAAACCATCAAACTACCACTGTATCTTACTCAAACAATACAAATATCACAAACGATAAAACAAACACACTATCTTACTCAAATAATTCAAATATCACAAACAATCAAACTAACACACTATCTTACTCAAACAATACAAATATCACAAACAATCAAACTAACACACTATCTTACTCAAACAATACAAATATCACAAACAATCAAACGAACACACTATCTTACTCAAATAATTCAAATATCACAAACGATCAAACTGACACACTATCTTACTCAAACAATACAAATATCACAAACAATCAAACCCAGTATCTTACTCAAACAATACAAATATCACAGACAATCAAACACAGTATCTTACTCAAACAATATAAATATCACAAACAATCAAACAAACACACTATCTTACTCAAACAATACAATTATCACAAACAATCAAACGAACACACTATCTTACTCAAACAATACAAATATCACAAACAATCAAACTAACACAGTATCTTACTAAAAATATACAAATATCACAAACAATCAAACTAACACTGTATCTTACTCAAACAATACAAATATCACAAACAATCAAACTAACACAGTATCTTACTAAAAATACACAAATATCACAAACAATCAAATGAACACACTATCTTACTCAAACAATACAAATATCACAAACAATCAAACAAACACAATATCTTATTAAAAATATTAAATGTACACACAAAAGTTTCAAGCAAATGCAATGGTAACCTTGACCTTACATTGTATGATATACATTTCTTTTTCTTGTACAAACTTTCTTAATTATTATAGACATAATTATGAACCTTTCATCTTCAAAAAGTAACCCAAGATTTAAGTACTAGAAACAGCAAGTGTTTTAAAGAAAAAAAAATTCAATGAAAATACTACTTACATTCTTTGTAAACCATGCAGACAAATGATTAGAATGGAAATTTTATGGAGGTTTCATTTGCAAACCTTATTTCTATCCTTCACAAATCGGAAATATCTAAAATTTTGAAAATATGTACAATGTAAATACCATTCTTTGCCTTTATGCCTCCTTGTAATCTTGGTATCTGGTTTTATAATCGACCAGTAGCCTTATAAAGTACCAAGTCCTACAGTATCACTTTTCTTACCTTCGTATATGGTATCCTACATTATCAGGGTTCATTTCAGCAGCACTAGAAAAACATTCTAAAGCCTCAGGATAAAGTCTCTGGTCAAACAATGTCTGTCCTTGGAAGTAATAAAGAAATGACAACCGTGAGTAATATCCGTCATTGTTTGCTTCAAGAAGACATGCCTTTTTGTAGTTCAAAATGGCTGACTTGAAATCACACAACTGAATGTAGGCCTCGGCCCGTGCCACGTGGTATTTGGGTATGTCTGGCACCAGTCCCATGGCTTTGTTTACAGCATTTATACACCCCTGGTGGTCACCACTGGCCTTTAACAACATTGCTTTTGTAAAACTGAAAATCAAGAATGAACCTGTTACATCATTGTTAATGAGCTGATACAAAGATGTAAGATTGGCATTATTTACCAGTAAAAGCACTGTATTGTTTATGTCATATCCATCACAAAGAAATCAAGCAAAAGCATTTTTATTCAATTTCTGCATAAAACGTCTAAAGAAGTTGTAAATAATTTAAAAGGGCTTACTAATTTAAAACTGGCTTGAAGTTTGAGAAGAACTTAATTTTTTGTTTGAAAGTTTGGCATACGTTGATGCTGTTACAATGTGTAATTCACAGAGGAGGTAAACATGTAGACATAAAGTGGCCTTACTGCTCTGCTGCCTTCCTCTCTATGATATCCTGCATGCCTGTGGAGTATTTCTGTACAGGCCCCCAGTCCTCTGTCTTGAATATACTGTTGCGGGTCCATCGCCTGGCCCTCGCCTTGTCTAGCATGTCCTCACTTACTGTCGTACTAAACACAGTGGCAGGCTACAAAACACACAGTCACATCATTATGCAGCTGACTTCAGCTCGATTTTCACTTTTTTCTTTTTATATTTAGCTACTTACTTACCAACATGTATAATAATTTATACATGTTTTTGCACAGATGTATACTTCTAAGATGTGCAATACTATTGCTATGTTTAAGTTGATACTTTAATCATCAAGATAAATGAAAACCATTACCTATTTACTTCGAAATTGTTCTTATATGTAGACAAATTAGAATTTAATGTAATAATCTGTAGGTGTATATAAACACAGATAACAATTATAAACTACAATATATGGTATTAAAACAAGTGACAAAAACCCTGCATTGTGTTGAACAAGGTGACATGCAAAGACCCAGCAAGGTGTACATGTGGTAGACCAGGTGACAAGCACAAACATCCAGCATTTTGTGGAACAGTAAAAGACTATCAGGTCACATGCAAACATCCTGACTGCATTGTGTGTCGTAACAGGTGACATGCAAACACCCTGTATTGTGTGGTATAACAAAGTGGTCAACAGGGTTGAGGTGTGGTTGGACAAAAATGGACGCCAAAAGGTTGGGGAAAACGCTGAAACTCACATAAGTGAGTAAATTCTCAGAATAAATGTGTAGCAAATGTTCATTCTATTCTTATATTCTCAAAACATAAATGAAAGTTCAGTAATTAAAAAAAAAATGAATATATTAACCAAACACATTACATGTACAAGAATTATTACACTGATAATTTGTTGGAATTTTGACCATGTCATTCCTACAGCTGTGTACAGGGTTAGCAGGGGCCTGGGGAAGTGCATGACGAGGATGGATGGAAGACTTGGATAAATCAACAGGGTACAGAACAAGTGATGGCAACTAAAGAATGGTGTTCAGGCAACAACAAGTCCTTCTTTTTAACTTTTATTTATTAAATTCATACATTTATATATACATGAAGTATAAAGTCTAAAGCTTAACTTTGAATATCAAAATCATTCAATGAAAAATATTTCTTATCTTAACACATGTATGGATACCTAATAGGCTATCCATATGACAAGTCTTACCCCATAAAACATAGTTGACTGAAATGGCTGAAAAGCATAATCATGACAATAAAACAAAATGATGACAAAGAAAATGTGATTGTGAAGCAATTACATGCATGATCAAAATAATGTTTACTAGCATGAACTGAAAAAAAACATCATATGAGACACACAAACAGCACAGAAAATGAATACGAACAACAAAACCTGATGGTAAACATGTATCTGGTGGTTCAATTTTAGACAGCAAACTTCTTCAGGACGAAAGTGATAATACCTCAGAGAATGTTTCAACTGACAGACCAGTATAGTATGATTTCTATCATTTCATATCTGTTTTGCTTGGTGTGACCATATCTGATTAATTGTCATCAGTTGATTTACATTAAAAAGTAGTTCTAGCTTCTTCAACAAATGTTTGGCCATTTTAATCTGCATGGGCAGGACAGCTAGATTACCTGTTGCTTCAAAGTATTTAAAAAGTTTTAAGATTCCAGTTAAGAAAAATATTACAATTCTAAGAGACTACTGAGCAGGAAAATGAGATCTTGATGATTACCTTTTTATCTGCAGCAGAATTGTTATCGTCCTCTTTTGAGGTCCCGGCATCACCACTTGCACCATCAGTCACATCAGTTTTAGATGCCTGCGGATCAGTTACATCTGTTGTGGAATTGCTTGGCATCTGAACCAGAGAAGTGTCCTCCAGCTGCAACAACTGTGAAGCACTACTAAGTTCTTTGTCTGAATTGGTAAATGTTGACTCATCCACTATTTCTTTCATTGCTTCCTCTGTTCGCTTGTCTTGTTCCTCTGCAAATATTGTGGAGGATTTTGTAAAAGTATGTTCTAGTTGAGGATAAAACTGGTGAATGTTAACCATTTTCTTTTTACCAACAGTTGAATCTGAGATTTCTGAGAGCTCCATTTCGACAGGGCTTACTCTGGGTTCAGAGTAGTATTCCTCCTTAGCAGCCTCTGGCTCAGCTTCCTCCACAATACTCGTCATACTGGGGTTGGTTAGCTCTGTATCTTGCCTTACCTCCATGGTGATTTGAAGGTTAATATCTTTCACATTCCTGCTGTAAGTGTGTCATTGTTTGAAACTCTTAATCTGTAATAAAAGAAATAACTTATGTGAACATTTCAACTGAATGTTTTATAGCTAATAAATTGCTTTAAAGCTGAAATAAGTGCTTAACTTGACACAACTGTTATTTATTAGCATGATATAAAAATGTTGCATACAAAATCCTCACAAAAATTATTATGTTTTCCATCATGCCATATTGCCCAATATCCAAGTATATTTTAATGAACAATCTACAGAACTGTTTGCGTGGACAGACCTTCAGGAATTATTAAATGACCACACTATTCTAGTTTGTCCCTGACTAGTGTACGTATGCATACCTTCCCAGTGTGGGACCCTACAACCAACAGCACATAGACATGTCAGTGCAACTTCAGTACTTTCTGCCAGATTGACCACTAATAACTGTTATAGCAGGGACACTTGATGTGTTATTGCCATACTTTAACAGTAGACATGGAAACCACTACTGCAGGAATGAGCCTACAGGAACAGGGCAGTGATGTTATACAGTCAGAATAAGTCGGAATAATATGATGTCAGAATAAAAATACATGTTAGCAATCCAGAATGAGCAACTTTTTTATATGCATTTAACAACGTAGTACCTGAATGAACTATGTACTGAGTTTTTTAAGCAGCTGATTTACACAATAAGTCTCAAAGAGGTTTTTTTCAGTTTCACTGTCAACCAGTGACCAGGTAGCTCAAGTGGATAAAATGTCTGTCTACAGTTTGGTCCCAAGTTCAAATCCCAATCTGTCCCCATTTTATTTTTCATCTCCTGTTACAGTAGTGTCTATAACCATGCAACCCATTGTTTCCAGTACTGTGGCGTACTGTGGATATGATTGCCAAAAGGATATACCTACACCTGTGTTGTAAATAATGTTGTTTGCTGGGACAAGACTTAGGTAAAAGGAGACAGGTGTGTAGTGGGACTAAGTCTGGAGCCTGCATGTCTAGAGTTTTGGGACCAATCAGGGGTTCAAATTCGGTCTGACCCCATTGCATTTCCCATCTCTTATAAGTTCTTCTTCTGTCAAAGTACAGTCCTCCTAGTGGAGCATCACATAAGTTTTAACAAATTAAATTTTATCTCCATTCATATCAAAAATATTTTACAGCCCTATCAGTAAAAGCCGAGATTTGAACTTTTTGGAACACATATTCTTAAAAGGCGATTTCAATCTCTGCCAACATTGCACGACGGCGACAAAACCTGGTGTATTCTTTCAAACTGAAATATGACCCTTGTATGATAAAATAGCATTACTTAGTTGCATTTCAGTAGCCTGTTGTAGATTATTGTGCTGTGACCCTACCGAGAGTGGTCCCTCAACTCCCTTCAGCTGGAGTTGAAAAAGATCTTAGATGGGAAAGCCAACCTTTACTGTAACAGCCACCATTCAAGGCTATATATGCACTACATACAGTATGAATTAATCCTTTAAAATATATATCTGCACTATAAAACAGTATAAAAATGTTTGTTTTGCTAAAACTTCATTCATTTTGTCATGTTTCTTTTACTACCTAACTTGGAAATAAAGTAGGTCTACATTTGATTTTGTTTTTTATTTGATTTGATTACAATAGGGTACGTCTGGACATATAAACTCTTACAAATCTCAAGCCAATTGGATATATATCACACACATCTGACAGCCATATCGGAAGAATACCTCAATGTTTTTCGCAGTTTTCGTGTAGCTTTCATGGTTTGCGATATCGAGCCGCCATATTGTTGACAAAATTGCTAAGGGGCTTTGCGCATGCACTATACACAATATTCGGATGAAGAAAAGGAGTTTTTCATTGGCTGATTGGAAAGCAATTTCGAAACTTTAACCAATGAACATTTTCGTTACAAAAATACGTTGGTTGCACATGTAAACTATCATGGCGGCGTTTGAGTTATGTTAAACGCGATTTGGCTATATTTACAAAATGGAGTTAAACAATTCACTCTTTAGTGACGATGAAATAGACGAGTGTGAAAAAATCGGACAGGCGAACGCCTCCAAGGTAAAACTCGCAAATTTAACAGGACAAAGCCTAAATTAGATGTATCAAATAGACTGAAAAAACATCATCACTGATACTCGGCCTCTACATCGTTACCTTATGATCAGATACCTTGTGATGATTCTGAACGCAGGCCCTTATTGCTCCTCTATGATTAGCTCTACTTCATCTAACACTGATGTAGTTTTGTCGGTTCTGGATTATTCATGCACAATTTTAGCTGAGTTTCAATGTCATAAATTGCAGGTACTCCCATAACATGAGAGGCCGCTGGTCGGCCTTTTTTCAATCGGATATGATTTTGCCGACTGCGACCTCTCATTTCCGAAGCACTAATTTGCAGGATGATCCTTAAGCCCTAATCAAGTTAATGTGGTTGTCTTTTTAAAACTATTGACACTTTTAGCTCTAAAAACATCCTCTGGTAGGTTGTTCTATATGTCAACTTCTCGATTTGTGTAGAAATTCTTTTGGATGTCCTGTCTACAACGCTGACTCACAGTCGGAATTTCAATCTCTTGTGGTAGTTGCATGTAGTCTTCTTCATTTATAGGTTATCAGTAGTTCTTCAATGATCTGAAGATTATTTACTGTTTTGTGCAGCGTGGCCTATATATATATATTAACAAGAATACCAAAAATTATGAAAATGAATTTGGAAAGCATAAATTTCAAATTGTGATTAAAACTATGTACATAGGAGGCTTGTAAAAATTAAATGAATTTGTGGAGAACAGCTGGTGTGAGCTGTTCTCTGAAAGTGTCGGGGGCGGGCAGGATACTAGTACCACAAGAGTTTTAAATTCCGAGTTTTAAATTCCGACTGTAAGTCAAGAAAGATTTTATGAAAACAGGGGTACTATTTTCTTTTTTTACAATACAACCTTTGTTGTTTTTTTATAAATATTTCTCGGCTTACAGTCGGAATTTTAAACACCTTGCTTGTACTATTGAAATTTATGAACATTTCTTCTGTAATGTCTCTTACATAGAACCTTAGGGATGTACACCTCTGAGAAGTCCAAAAAATCCTGTATTACACTTTTTTTCTTATATGGATTTTTGGAAAAAGGAATTAATGGCATAGTAGATAATGCAAAAAAAACTATATGTCCGTGTGTGTGCGTTTTTGTGCTATGATCGGTCAAAGATACCAATTTAACACAACATGTGATTTCAGGTGATTTTGGGGGTTTTGACCATTTGCAAAATAAATTCATACAATTTCTTTGTGGTGTGTTATCAGATATGTATCACTATGAATGTTTGTAGAATTGATGAAAATAATATTTTCTTTTAAATTATGGTTGTAAAATTTCTTAATCTTATTCTTTTAACTCAAAAAGCTGATTTTAGTTACTCATTTTTTTTACCATTTTTTGCAGATTAAACGCTTGATATAAAAAGTTCTGCTATAAAACTTTTTTTAATATTTAATGAATTAAAAGAAAACGTGTTTCTATTTCTAAAACATCCACAAAATACACTGAATATATATATATATTTTTTTTTATCAATAATGTGTAATTTTCCAGTTTGTTGCATATTATTTTTGTCATATTAAACATTATAAAATTGTACAGCAAAATTGAACCTGCTACAATTAATAATGGTGACACAATGACAATTCAAGTGATTAATCCAGTGTCAAAAAGGTGAAATTTTGGCCTTTTTTGAAGCGCAAGAAATACACATTTCAAAATGGCCGCCAAATTGGTAATTTTTTACAATTTTTGTGAAAAAAGTTCTACAAACAACAGGCACCTATTGTTTTGACATATTTTCCAGATGCATGTTTACTAATAAACTTGATCATAATTTGTTAAATATTACAAAAACCTGTTACGCCAGATCAAAACGAGACTTGAACGTGATTGAAACCTCAGAAGAGTACAGTGGTACATCCTTTAAGCATCCTTTTCTAGACAAACTATTTTAAAAACTATAATGATGTGGTGGAACTGTCCAAGTTTGATCCCCGATAACCAGATTGTAAAGTGCAAGGATCTGGTATTGCTTGGTATTGCATTAAATTTCAGGGTCCCTATATGTCTTCAGTGTTCATGTGTTATTTCTGGTTAAAGACATTGCTGAAGAAAGGAGAAATGTGGAAAAACTAAGCAGCACTGTCTCATACTTGCCAACTCTCCGTATTTTGGAGGAAGACTCCTGATTTTTACATTTAGTGTCACCAACCACTGAATTTGCTAAACTGTTCCTATATTCTAAGATCTATTGATTTCATCTGAAAGAACAAGTAAAAATATGTAATTTTCAAGGATTATTTTGTCTCTATTTCTCCTTAAATCCTTATTTGGCCAATCCGCTGTTGCAGTTTTTCTTTCCTGTACTATAAATGAAGAGTTTGTAGGTCCTTTGTTATTGAAGAAACTAGCATATGTTATGTTATGTTACATCAGTCATACTAAAGCAATGTGCACTGTACCAAATCCAGGGCCCACAACCCCTTAATTACAGAGTTATTGCCCTTTCCTAAAATGTTATGTCTGGAGCATAACTTTGCCTGCAGTTAAGTTAGGATCATGAATCTTAGTGTGTACATCAGTCACACTAAGGTGATGTGCACTGCATTGTATTCAGGGTCTGCAGCCCCTTAATAATAGAGTTATTGCCCTTCGCTAAAATATTGTGTCCGGAGCATAACTTTGCCTGCATTTAAACTAGGATCATGAATTTTTGTGTGTACATCAGTCGCACTAAGGTGATGTACAGTGTACTGATTTCAAGGCATGCAACCTGTTATTTACAGAATTTTTGCCCTTTGCTTAAATGATATGTGAGAATTTCGTGTCCAGAGAGAAGTTAAATTTTTGTGTACATCAGTCACAAAATGAACAATACCAAAATATTCATAGACACACAAAATTATCAGTGCTTATAGCTGGCATATAATAGAATAAGTTAATTATTAGTAAAATATGTCTTCATATTTCATAGGTGAAGCATCTGCTATATGTCAGACACATATGTACATGTATGAAATGTGTTAAAACATCATTTTTCTTCTTCCAAACTCCTCATTTCAACACATTTTTACCAATATGTGTCATAAATCTAACCATATGCAAAATTCACAAACAGGACAAGCTTACTATCAAGTTGTTTTTCGGGGAGCATACATCAGTTCCACTGATCATGATACTCTTGTTTTGTTTTGTTTTTGGTAGTGTTTGATTATATCTGTTTTGTTGTTGGTCAGTGTTTGAATGTTTTATTACATTTGATTGTTAAATGCATGCAATGTTTGACAATTTATCTATTGTCGTTTGTAGAAATGGCTGAGTTCTGCATTTGCATCACTTTCCCAGCTGGAGCAGGTCAAACCTAACGTGTACAATGTTGGTTTGGTGGATCCCAGGGAGCTCAAGGGAAGTAATCTCACCAGTACCAACAAACGAAGTCAGAGCATTACTGACCTGACCAGTAACCCACCTCTATCAACAGTAGTTAACCAGAAAACGGCATGGTATGTTTGTTTTTAGTGACAGTAAGTTCTTTTGTTTCAAATCACAGCACTATAGCCCACACATTACTAGCTCAAAACAAGCCATGTGTCCTACTATCAACAAGTGTAGTTGGCCCAGCAGTTTCTACCAGTTCTGAAATATAAACACAAATCATTTTTATACACACAGAAAATGTACAGAAGGGTTAAATTTGAACCCTGTAGAAGTTGAAGGTAAACAGTTGAGGATGTCAGTATCATACATTAAACAGTTTCAAAACATTCTATAATATTACAGTAAGTTTATAAGACAAAATGGAGTATGTATAAGATTAGAGGAGTAGACTAAAGATTAGAATAAGCACAATACATGTACTTTAAAATCTCAGACATATGTCAGATATACAGATTAAGTGTAACAGTATAGGGCTCAGATCAAACTTAAAAGATCAACATGACAGACACAAGGTCACATCTTAATTTCAATACAGAATTCCTCTGCCAAATAGTGAACAGATTATCACCAAGGATCCTACATGTACAGCTGTTTACCAAACATAAGGAGGCACTTTGTTGATATGATAAGGATTAACATGTAATTATGTATATAAACAACACATTTTCATATTAACATATCTTGCCATTTGAAGTGATTTTTTTATCTAACAGAAATCTTCAAGCAATTTTAAGAATATAAACATCCTGAATAAATGTGATTACTCCTTATTATTTACCATTCACTATGACTACCTTTATGATTGTTTTGACTTTGAACGATTCACATGAAATTTGAAATGTTTCTTAAGCCATCGCCTAGAGATACTTCAGTACATATCATGTCCCTGGGTCGTATAATGCCTGCAGACATGTATTTTTTTAACTTTCAGAAACCATAATTATCCATAGTGAAGTATTGATTTTCTTGTGTGGTGTTTGAAGACTGTTTAGTGATGGAGTTCATTCATAAATAATAAATATTTTATTGTTTCATGTAAGCAATGACATCAGAGAAAGTCTATGACTTATTATCTATGTGTCAATATTTCTAAACAGAAATGACGAATGTTCATGAGAACAGGCAATGATAACTACATAGAAACAGGGTAACAGTGGGCTTTGTTAGGTATTATACAAAATGTTACACCTTCAAGTTACCTACAATAGGCACCAGCTTGATTTACTTATAACAGAACAGGAAAAAACTGTGTTTGATCAAGTCAGATACAATACATGATCTGAACAATATTACCAACACTACTTGGTAATTAACCTGTGGACTTTCATCTTATTCAACATCAGTTTCTGTAATTTGACTGAGATTGTGAAAATGAAGAAGGATTTTTCTCAAACAAGGTAAAAACTATGAAAAGGTAAATATACTTTTCAGTAGATTTCAGAGACTATATATGGAATCAGTGAGTAAATAATGGCTTTACATGCACTTTCTATCTTATTGCAGGGGTAGTAATGGGTCAATACCTGACCTTGTCAAACAGGCAGGTGAGATTGATGTGCGTCCACATCGGCCGGAGAGCGCCAAGGCATCATCCAGGAGATACCGCCCACCCAGTGGGAAAAAGCCACGTCCAGAGAGTGCCAAGGAGAGATCTCTCCCACCGCGCCCTCCCCCTAAAATATCTGGTGGGTAGAACTCCAGGTTATTTCTATTTATGTGAGACAATACATTGTTTATACATAAATCTCATTTATTTCTGCTACTTGTACGATCCATTAAAAACAGGCATCCTTTTCCCAGTGTCTCTGAAATACCACAAAGACCAGAAAACTTTGCTTGTTCAAAAATGTTTTTTATACCTAGAGGATATTAATGCGACTTGTGTCTGCTTCACTTTCATGTTTTCGTAAATCTGCATTAAAAGAAAAGGAAAAAGAAAACAAAATTATAGAGAAAAATTCACATGTCAGACAATTCCATTATGATTGCTATTACCAGTGAGGGGAGCTAAGTGTGACACTGCTGGTCGGCCAGCCAAACAGACGCCTTACCAGTCAGTGACTACAGGCTGGGCGGGTCCCCCTGCTGGGATGAGGTACCCCGACTCCAAGGCAGAACAAGGTTAGTAGAAGTTGTTGTATTTTGTAGAATTATCTTGTAGACTTATAATTACTTTATACATTTGATAATTAAGATTTATAATAAGTTTTGCATATATATATGGTTCTTGTAAGTAGGACTATGTTTATTATATATTTGACTATTTTTTTTATCAAAAACACATTAGTTTTCTTGTGTTTATGCTAATGGTTTACCGTTATGTGTTGTAGGCCATGCCCCTTACTCAGTGCCGTGCACTCCACCACCTCCCCCCCAGGGAACCCCTGTTCCTCGTCTTGATATAGATGTTGAAATACCAAACACCAATGAGGGAGACAGGTAACTTATACATGTATTGCTATAGTTGCTCCACTGTATTTTACAGTCATGTTACACTTTTTACCTTCTCAATCAATATTCTTATGTATATTTTGCAAAATAAAGGGAGTATTGAAATTAATCCTAATTATCCATCAGCAATTTCTGAAATACATATGTTTCAGTAGTTATTTCTGTACTAAAGTAGTTACAAACCTTTGTTATTATGTCCAGTGAGGAAGATGACACAGTGAAGCTGAAGTACACAAAGACAAAAGTAGAGGCCCCTCACCCTGTCGAACTCCTGCGACGTCCCACACACGAGTCTCTCCACCTCAACCTCGACATACCCACCATGGAAGAGGAGGAAGTCGACGAAGACAGTGACCTTGACACTGAGAGGTATGTAGGCTCAAACTAATCATAACATGTTAATCTAAGTCATTGGTGGAAAGAAGGTTGTAAAAGGATGTATCAGTTGGATCAAGGATTATTTATATGTGGCAGTGGAGTCGAAGTCACCTGGTAAATAGTCAATAAGGAAACTTTAACTAGAAAAAAATACCCTGTTACCAGTACATCCTATGTTATCTGTGAAAGCCTTTCATAATGCTGTTTCTTTTCATTTGTTTTTGCTTTGTGATAGATTATTGGAAAAGGCTGAAATGTATTCTACAAGTAAACAACACGAGGATGATGAGTCTATCCATAAAGTAACAGAAGCAAACCAGTCTGGTGACTTTGATGAATCCCAGGATAAAACTGGTTACCCCTCCGTACCGGAGGTAGACGAGGATGAGGACTCCTTCTCATTCCATAGTAGAATAGAATCCTCTTCAGACAGTGATGGATCCTGGACTGACGAGGAGGAGGAGCCCGTTAAACCAGTGGAAAAGTTGGTCGTTAAATTCAGCGAGGAAAGAAATGTGACGATAGATATCACACCCCGGAATACTAGACATAAAATAGGAAGAGTGTCACCAAGAGGTCAACATAACCACCAAGGTCAGAGGTCAGGAGGCAAAGGTGAAGTTAGTGAGGATGATGAACAAAAACTACAGGCTGCTTTATCTGTTAAAAGTGCCGCACCTCAACCAATCATAGGAATTGTGGACTATTCTGAGGAGAACACAACAAATTATGTGCCTCAAGTTACAGTGGTTAAGAAAAGTCAAAGACCATCATCAGCAGTAATCAAACAAACAGAAAAAGATGGAACAAAGATGAGGCAACGTCCAAGTTCTGCTACAGTGAGACCTAGTAGTAAACCCGTAGGTAGGTCACTCAGTAAACCAGTCACACAGATTATAGTGGATTATGGAGAAGAGGAAAGAAGGAAGAAAACAATACAAAAAAAATTACGACGAAAAGATGTTGTCACTATGGTTGAACAGGTTTCAATGTCAGAAGATGAAAATAGTGAAGAATCTGATGAGGACATTGAAATCACACCTGAACTACTTCGTCCTGGATCCCCGACAAAGTGTACATCAGAGCCAACCAAAAACTATTACGAAATATCCAGACAATCTGCCATTGGTCGATCAAGTGTGGTAGATAAGATGTTTGAAAAGTTGAAGGAGGGTGCATCTGGACTATCTACAACAATGGTAACTGACCCTGGTGAAAATGACTCAACGGAAAGTACTGTGGTGAAAAGTGTTCTGGATTCCCAACTCCTACGTATCAACGAGAAACAGATGGTGGCTCATCAGGTAGATGTAAACAGGGAGAAAGCAAAAACCATCAGACCTCCAAGTGCTAGGGTAAGCTTGCTCATCTGATCGACACGCTAGAGGCATACAGTATATCATACATTCTTCAAGTAGTCTTATAGTATACTGCAATGTACACATGTATCAATAAAGTATAAGTAAAGCTACACACATGTCATACAGTCTTGTTAACAGTTATACCTATACACTTATATATCCAACAGTAATGTTATACTGTACCTACACATTAGCTACTGCACATATTTGTTATATACTTACACATGTTCAACATCTTGTAAGTACTTAACACACATGTACAAAAGTCTTGTTGAACCTACAAGGTGTCCAACAGTCTTGTTATACCAACACCTGTTATACAGTCCTGTTATACCAACACCTGTCATACAGTCTTTTTATACCAACACCTGTCATACAGTCTTGTTATACCAACACCTGTCACACAGTCTTGTTATACCAACACTTGTCATACAGTCTTGTTATACTAACACCTGTCACACAGTCTTGTTATACCAACACCTGTCACACAGTCTTGTTATACTAACACCTGTCACACAGTCTTGTTATATCAACACTTGTCATACAGTCTTGTTATACTAACATCTGTCATACAGTCTTGTTATACCAACACCTGTCACAGTCTTTTTATACCAACACCTGTCACAGTCTTGTTATACCAACACCTGTCATACAGTCTTGTTATACCAACACCTGTCATACAGTCTTGTTATACCAACACCTGTCATACAGTCTTGTTATACCAACACCTGTCACACAGTCTTGTTATACCAACACCTGTCACACAGTCTTGTTATACCAACACCTGTCACACAGTCTTGTTATACCAACACCTGTCACACAGTCTTGTTATACCAACACCTGTCACACAGTCTTGTTATACCAACACCTGTCACACAGTCTTGTTATACCAACACCTGTCACACAGTCTTGTTATACCAACACCTGTCACACAGTCTTGTTATACCAACACCTGTCACACAGTCTTGTTATACCAACACCTGTCACACAGTCTTGTTATACCAACACCTGTCACACAGTCTTGTTATACCAACACCTGTCACACAGTCTTGTTATACCTATACCTGTCATACAGTCTTGTTATACCTACACATGTGTCCAACAGTCTTGTTATACCAACACCTGTCACACGTTCTTGTTATACCAACACTTGTCATACAGTCCTGTTATACCAACACCTGTCATTCAGTCTTGTTATACCAACACCTGTCATACAGTCTTGTTATACCAACACCTGTCATACAGTCTTGTTATACTAACACCTGTCACACAGTCTTGTTATACCAACACCTGTCATTCAGTCTTGTTATACCTACACATGTGTCCAACAGTCTTGTTATACCAACACCTGTCACACATTCTTGTTTTACCAACACTTGTCATACAGTCCTGTTATACCAACACCTGTCATACAGTCTTGTTATACCAACACCTGCCATACAGTCTTGTTATACCTATACCTGTCATACAGTCTTGTTATACCAACACCTGTCACACAGTCTTGTTATACCAACACATGTCATACAATCTTGTTATACCTATAATGTCATACAGTCTTGTTATACCAACACCTGTCATACAGTCTTGTTAACAGTTATACCTATACACTTAGTCTTGTTATACCAACACCTGTCATACAGTCTTGTTATACCAACACCTGTCATACAGTCTTGTTATACCTACACCTGTCACACAGTCTTGTTATACCAACACCTGTCATACAGTCTTTTTATACCAACACCTGTCATACAGTCCTGTTATACCAACACATGTCATACAGTCCTGTTATACCAACACCTGTCATACAGTCCTGTTATACCAACACATGTCATACAGTCTTGTTATACCAACACCTGTCATACAATCTTGTTATACCTATACATGTCATACAGTCCTGTTATACCAACACCTGTCATACAATCTTGTTATACCAACACTTGTCATACAGTCTTGTTATACCAACACATGTCATACAGTCCTGTTATACCAACACCTGTCATACAGTCTTGTTATACCAACACATGTCATACAGTCTTGTTATACCAACACCTGTCATACAATCTTGTTATACCTATACATGTCATACAGTCCTGTTATACCAACACCTGTCATACAATCTTGTTATACCAACACTTGTCATACAGTCTTGTTATACCAACACATGTCATACAGTCCTGTTATACCAACACCTGTCATACAGTCTTGTTATACCAACACATGTCATACAGTCTTGTTATACCAACACCTGTCATACAATCTTGTTATACCAACACCTGTCATAAAGACTTGTTATACCTATACCTGTCATACAGTCTTGTTATACCAACACCTGTCATACAGTCTTTTTATACCAACACCTGTCATACAGTCCTGTTATACCAACACCTGTCATACAGTCCTGTTATACCAACACCTGTCATACAGTCTTGTTATACCAACACATGTCATACAGTCTTGTTATACGAACACCTGTCATACAATCTTGTTATACCAACACCTGTCATACAGACTTGTTATACCTATACCTGTCATACAGTCCTGTTATACCAACACCTGTCATACAGTCCTGTTATACCAACACCTGTCATACAGTCCTGTTATACCAACACCTGTCATACAGTCTTGTTATACCAACACATGTCATACAGTCTTGTTATACCAACACCTGTCATACAATCTTGTTATACCAACACCTGTCATACAGACTTGTTATACCTATACCTGTCATACAGTCCTGTTATACCAACACCTGTCATACAGTCCTGTTATACCAACACCTGTCATACAGTCCTGTTATACCAACACCTGTCATACAGTCTTGTTATACCAACACCTGTCATACAGTCTTGTTATACCAACACATGTCATACAGTCTTGTTATACGAACACCTGTCATACAATCTTGTTATACCAACACCTGTCATAAAGACTTGTTATACCTATACCTGTCATACAGTCTTGTTATACCAACACCTGTCATACAGTCTTGTTATACTTACACATGTGTGGAACAGTCGTTTTTACAACCATGTGTCATACAGTCTTGTTATACATAAAAATGTATCATTACAGTGTTGTTTTACCAACACATGCAAGTCAAACAGTCTTGTTATGACTACATGTGTTATTCATTTTTGCTATTTTTGGTATACCTTCTTGTTCACATATGCCCAACATTCTTGTTATCCTTACATATGTGCCCAACATTCTTGTTTTACTTACACATGTACCCAACATTCTTGTTATCCTTACACATGTGTCCAACATTCTTGTTATCCTTACACATGTGTCCAACATTCTTGTTATACTTACACATGTGTCCAACAGTCTTGTTATCCTTACACATGTGTCCAACATTCTTGTTATACTTACACATGTGTCCAACAGGTGCTGCATAAGCCTCCTGTGGCCCGGACAGGAGAATCAAATGACCATGAGCGACCAGGGTCAAGGCTGGGATTTGTCGCGATGGCACCTGAGCAAGCATCAGATCAAACGACCAGCAAGAAGGTAATGTTTAAGATTGTAGTCTTACCTTTAATTATATCATATGTCATAAATTTTGTATAGGATGTCTGCAACATTTAAATGATGTCTTAGAGCGCTTTTGTGTTTGCTCTCAATGTATCTGTTTGTATTAATGGTGCACTATATTATATACTGTATGTATCTGTACGGTTATCCCATACATATTTATATCCAAATGTGTATTCCATGGCTGTATGTCTATGTTTCTTCCATGGATATATTCTATGTGTCTATATGGTGTGCTCCATGCATTCATATATCTATATATATATATAAACTTCTTAGTATGGTTACCTCAGTGGTGTCACTGCTGTTGTAATTGATGGTACAGTTCAGTGACATCATACCACTCTAATGAAATGAAAATTGAGAAAACATCACAATGATTTGATAAACTATGATTGTTGTTTCTTGGTACAAGCTGTTATGTTGTGCTTCAGGCTACTAGACGACCCCTCTCAGCACAATCCAAACGAACAGCAACTCCATCTAGTGGTGAAAAGAAGAAAGGTCACTCTGATCCAGCAGGGGATACCATAACCAATGTATCGTCACAGCAGGAGAATTCCCCTGAGGTCAAAGTCACAGGTTTCACTGATAGGGAGATAGAAATCCAAAATCTCATGAAGAAACATTTAACAAGACCTTTGTCTTCCATCTCTAATAATCTCCCCTCACCCAAGTCGCCAAAGTCACCAAAATCACCCAAATGTAAAATTCCGAAATCTCCCACTGTTGTGTCATCAGCTAGATCGGGGTCAAAACCTTCATCGGCAAGGTCAGAGTTGAAGGTAGGCTCGCCAAGGTCAAAGAAGGAGAAGACGATTGACGATATGATTGAGAAGCACCTGAAGCGTCCAGCGTCTGTGTTCACACCTGATGTTATGAATGAATCAATGGGTGATTCCTCGCCATCACCGCCGTCATCTCCAGTACCTGTTGTCAAGGAGACAGATTCATCAACACTACCACTACCAGGCACAGTAAGTTATTAATCCTGCTAGATTTCCTCGTATGTCCCTGTTAGACTAAGTAGGACTGTGTTATGATGGTACACGAGGGTAAAATCTCAAGGTCAGGACACCAGACCTTAGTTGCAAAAAGCTTGAATAGAGTTTTAAAATTATTAAAGAAAATTTCAAATATGAATACAGAACATCTGACACCGTTTCACTGCTACGTATTTGTTGGAACAGGTAAGATTGATGTGTTTTGAGGAATAATTTTGCTCAGAAAGCCTTTGTTTCTTACTGGCAACAATTTGAACTTTTCATCGACAAATGGTTCAAGATAACCAACCTTTAAGCAAGGGGGGCCAGTTATTCATGACATAAACGTTGGATGTAGGACAAAATACATGTGTGGTGAGGTTCAAACAAATACACAACACATATTCAGCTTAGTATGCTTCACACTAACACCTGTAACTTATAAGACAGGTGTATTGAGACTTCACATAACAAGTAATTTTGTTTCCTGTTTTNATAGCAGTTTGATGGTATATGCACATATGAGCCCTGACTGACCCCCCGGGGCTGATGGGTGGGGCCAAAAAGGGTCAAATTGACTGAAATTTCAAAAATCTTCTTCTCAAGACCCAGATATGGTAGAATCAAACACTCTTCATAGATGGAAGGGTCTTAAGGTGCTCTACCAAAATTGTCAGTTTTATGACCCTGGGGTCTCACGTTTCCCCCTGGGGAGGGGTAAACTTTACTATTGTTTATACAGGGAAATCACATTTTGGACCAACATTTGTTTAATTGCTATTGGAGATAATTTAATTTGGGTTAGCATTGGGTAGCAGTTTGATGGTATGCACATATGAGCCCTGACTGACCCCCCGGGGCTGATGGGTGGGGCCAAAAAGGGTTGAATTGACTGAAATTTCAAAAACAAATCTTCTCAAAGACCCAGATATGGTAGAATCAAACACTCTTCATAGATGGAAGGGTCTTAAGGTTTATGACCCTAGGGTCTCATGTTTTCCCCCTGGAAAAGGAGGGGCGGGGCAAAATTTATTATGGTTTACAATGGCAAATGATACTTTGAATATTACATGTTAATAACTTGATTGGAATTATAACCCTGAGTTGACAGTTTGATACTTTGAAAATTTTGAGCCAGCCATACCCCCAAGGGCTGTAGGGTGGGGCCCAAAGGAGTCAGTGTGCTAACATTTCTTCATTTTCCTTGTTTAGAATCAGAGGTGCTAGTTACAAATACTTTTTAGTCTTAAATCTGTATGCTAGATATTGAATAAGGTGGTTTTATTGTTTTTTTTTGTCACTGAATAATATTACTGTTCTTGTTAAAAACAAAATCAACTCTCTGTATAAATATATCAGGTGACCGTTAAGGCCCATGGGCCTCTTGTTAAACAAGCCATTCCATCTGACTTAAATAAACTTATTTGAGGCTCTGTTATCTTGTTTGTTTTCTGACTGTAACTCATTAAACTATTGAGACCCATACCTGTACAAGTGCCTAGAATCCTGATCGTTTTCTTCTGTATTCCATAGCTTATGTATTTTGTACCTCATCTTTTAAATTTTATACACATCATCCGTGCATGAGCCAATTTCTCTATTTAACTAAAGTTCAAATGTCAAGGTCAATGTATGTAAGAGTAAAAGCTTTGCTGTTTTGACCTGCTATTTTAAGACTTGATGCACATTCAAGGACCAAAGAGTCCTATTCATTTTGAAGTTTAAAGGTCAAGGCCACTGTGACTGTGTTCTGATTACAATGACTCTTCACTTACCCTTTAAATGTTTAACTGACATGGCCTCTCTCTTCACTTACCCCTTAAGTGTTTAACTGACATGGCCTTTAAAAGTATCATAAGTCAATTGCAAGTGAGTATGATTGCTTTTGATTTGGCTGACTTCATAGTCTTTGACACAAGTTTGTATCATTTGTGACATTATAGATTAATTGTATTTGAAACATTGCACTACCCAAAACTTCAATGTGCAACAAAAGAAGATTTGCAGTTTTTCTGGTGTCAAATATAATGCATTACAGAGAAATGCTCACTGAATCCCTGGCTTAGAAGATCTTGAAATAAAGGCTTAATTAAGCACAATTTTACTGTGTTAGAGAAGTTGTCTACATGGTTAGAAAGGACAAATAATTTATTTTCTGCCTGAACAAATACATTATACATTTACTTTATTTTATCCTATGATATCTATTACAGAACGGGTACGACAGGTTCCTGTATCCATGGGTGTGCCCACGGACATGGCCATACAGGAGTACTGGGACTTACAGCTCAAACTAACGGTAACAGCCATAATTAACTCAGTCTGTAGCTGTCAATACTTTGATGTCTTGTGTAAGGAAGAACTCAGTATTAGTTTATTGTTTCATGCTCTTCAAACATTTTTTGATTAAAAAGATATTTTGAACTAGCATAACCAATTTGCTGATTTGGCAATCATCACAATTCTGCTGTGTTAACTGTAATATAACACAACTTCTTTTGCCATCAAACGAACATGAAACGGAATCTGATGTTAAACTTTACATCATTATATAAATATACCTCTTTCTCTATTACAGCAAAATCTTCATTCTACACAAGGGCAAAATCAGCTCCAGTCAAGAGGAAAACAGCCAGCAAGGAACCCAAGATCCGCTACACAAAACCTCTCTATCTCAACACTGTCAACCATAGTGATGTATCTAAACCATTGTTACCTCCACTACACTAAACCTCTCTATCTCAACACGGTCAACCATAGTGATGTATGTAAACCATTGTTACCTCCACTACACTAAACCTCTCTATCTCAACACTGTCAACCATAGTGATGTATGTAAACCATTGTAACCTCCACTACACAAAATTCTCTCTATCTCAACACTGTCAACCATAGTGATGTATGTAAACCATTGTAACCGCCACTACACAAAACCTCTCTATCTCAACCCCATCAACCATATTGATGTATGTAAACCATTGTAACCTTGACTACACTAAACCTCTCTATCTCAACACGGCCAACCATAGTGATGTATGTAAACCATTGAAACCTCCACTACACAAAATTCTCTCTATCTCAAAACTGTCAACCATAGTGATGTATGGGAACCATTGTAACCTCCACTACACAAAATTCTCTCAATCTCAACACTGTCAACCATAGTTATGTATGTAAACCATTGTAACCTTGACTACACTAAACCTCTCTATCTCAGCACTGTCAACCATAGTGATGTATCTAAACCATTGTTACCTCCACTACCCTAAACCTCTCTATCTAAACCCTGTCAACCATAGTGATGTATGTTAACCTCCACTACACAAAACCTCTCCATCTCAACACCATCAACCATAGTGATGTATGTAAACAATTGTACCCTCCACTACACTAAACCTCTCTATCTCAACACCATCAACCATAGTGATGTATGTAAACAATTGTAACCTCCACTACACAAAATTCTCTCAATCTCAACACTGTCAACCATAGTAATGTATGTAAACCATTGTAACCTCTACTACACAAAACCTCTCTATCTCAACCCCATCAACCATATTGATGTATGTAAACCATTGTAACCGCCACTACACAAAACCTCTCTATCTCAACTCCATCAACCATATTGATGTATGTAAACCATTGTAACCTTGACTACACAAAACCTCTCTATCTCAACTCCATCAACCATATTGATGTATGTAAACCATTGTAACCTTGACTACACAAAACCTCTCTATCTCAACTCCATCAACCATATTGATGTATGTAAACCATTGTAACCGCCACTACACAAAACCTCTCTATCTCAGCACTGTCAACCATAGTGATGTATCTAAACCATTGTTACCTCCACTACACTAAACCTCTCTATCTCAACACCATCAACCATAGTGATGTATGTAAACCATTGAAACCTCCACTACACAAAATTCTCTCTATCTCAACACCATCAATCATAGTGATGTATGTAAACCATTGTAACCTCCACTACACAAAACCTCTCTATCACAACACCATCAACCATAGTGATGTATGTAAACCATTGTAACCTCCACTACACAAAACCTCTCTATCTCAACACGGTCAACCATAGTGATGTATGTAAACCATTGTAACCTTGACTACAAAATGAAAAAGATATTGCATTCGTTGGACCTCTTCTTAGCTATAAAGTAGTCTCTGTAGATGAAAATCATCACTATAGGAAAATGTATTAACATGTTGCTGGTGTCAGTAAAGTCTTTTTTTGTTAACCGAGAAGGAAATAGATCTTCATAAATGAAGAGATAAGAAATATCTTCTGGCTTATTTTGATGAAATGGCCAGATGGTTTAAATATCTTTTACTGAGATTCCAAACCCAATTTGAAGAGATATTTATTTCGGAGGTTGCAATGTACCATAATTAGATCAATGTGACCTTTACTTCTCAGGTATTAGAGTCCATGTTTATGTATGTAGTATTTCATGTGGAAACTCCAAACAAGATATATATTAGGAGACATTTTGAGGAGGTGACCAACTATTTTGGTATTTGGGTATTTGGGGATTAAAAACACACCCATTTCTCCCCAAGTCTATTTCTTTCATTCTTTTTATGTAGAGACTTAGTTTCAAGAATATTTCCCCGCTGAAATAGAACATCTGCACACTGAGATAGAGAAGTAAAACGTTTTGACTTAACTTTCAGTACCCTGAGACAGAAGAGGCCCAAGAATGTACAGTGATGCAGGCAAAGCTGGCAGCTAAAGGCGTCACCGTCAGCGCAAAAACATTGGAGAGGTAAGGTGACAGAATAAATATTTAAAGTAGCTTCATAAACAGTACTCACTTAACACTTGTATTAAGAAATGGATGAAGTGATTATAAGATCAGGGGTGTGGGGGTGTGGGGGGGGGGGAAGAGAATTTCCTATTTTTATGAGGTGTTACCAGAAATCATATAGATCTGAAGTTTTTATTGATATTTTTCAGAGCCCTGTATCCACCATCAGGACAGACAACCTACTATGAAATCAAGGCTAACCTTCCAAGGTCACAGTCTCTAGGGTAAGTTTGATATATATACCTGGCATGATACATCTGTCACAGGGAAAATGAAGAGGTCTCTTATATCAAAATTCTTTAAGTTCATGTTGCTGCCAGGATCATCCTTCAATGTTCACAGTTAAACAGGTAAATCAAAATATTTCTTAATCATTTCTCCCAGGGTATTTTCTGTTATTGTGAGTAAAACCAGTCTGTATACATTTGGAAGGTCATGGGTAGTTCCTGTTAATGTATGTAGAACCAGTTTTGGGTAAATAATTACCTCTTCGTTAGCCAATGGTTAAAATCTGATACGATACAATCTACCTATTCTTCACCACTACAGACAAACCTGTTATCAGAGACCACCATTATTAGCCAATAATGCAGTCTCTTTATTTAGGTGGTCTGTTACTAGAGGTGGTCTGTTACTAGAGGTGGTCTGTTACTAGAGGTGGCCTCCCAAGTAGGTTTGACTTTGACTGTTATAATTAGAAGTAAACAGGGATAAGTACTGTTTTTAAGGGCAATTTATATTTCTTTTCTGAAATGAATAAAAAAATGTACTATATTTTATTACATTGTCTGTGATGTTAATTCTTTCCCCAGACTGCTGAGTCACCCCAAAGTATGGCTGCCAGATGAGTACAGGCAACTCAAGTCAGCAGAGAAAGCACTAGGTAAGATGTGTGGTTGTTGTCAGTACATGTACACTAAAGTCTAAATAAGATGTGTGGTTGTTGTCATTACATGTACACTAAAGTCCGTATAAGATGTGTGGTTGTTGTCAGTACATGTACACTAAAGTCTGTATAAGATGTGTGGTTGTTGTCAGTACATGTACACTAAAGTCTGTATAAGATGTGTGGTTGTTGTCA